GCGACACAAAATACAGGAGCAAGTGTTACATCGGATGAGAAGATACAACATGCGAAGTTTCAATATGCATTCACACCCTTGCTTCACCATATGCATATATCCGATGAAATGTGAGATTTTGCGTACGTACGAACGAACTCCATTTAATTTACCGTATAACCATGCACTACGTGAAATCTTCAATATCACACCATTCCTGGTATTATTAGCGTTAATTTCAAATGCGCATAAAAGTTTTTATTTTTTAATTAATCTATATAAAAACTTATAATTATTTTTATTTATTTAGATTTGTCTAAATCTGATACCGCTCAAGTTATGCTTGATATTACTGATAATTTTGAAAGCTTTGGTATGTATATGAATAATAAATTTATTTTATAAATCGTAAATAGTAATAATTTTTTTATATTTTAAGTAGATAAAAATCATGATTAACATGTTTAATAGAATTAATTATTTTTATTGATATAATAGATATATAAAAATAACAAGATGTTTTTGTATGATTGTAAAGTAATTGTGGGATAATTGGAGACAGTGATAATAATAATAAATAATCAAGCTTCAAGAAGTTCTTACTGTATATAATTGCCGCAATGCAAAGAATTTTGTATCAAATTATAAATGTTATTTTTGACTAACTTTTTGACGAACTTTTTCATTGTCTTTGTGAATACCAGATATGCTGTTAATGGAAGTCTTTAAGAATAATTTTTGTGAGCTTAACTGACAAAATAAATTCGATATTTTTACTTGTATCAAATTCATGGAGTTGGATACGTTCACGCAACTTTCATAGTGGTAATATTTTACAAATTAAAGGCATTAGTAAAAATATACAGTCTTAAATCTCAGATCTAGGATTATCCCAAAGGAGAACGAAAAATGATTCAAAAAGTGATATTTATGGAGTTATGCCTAATGTTGCTTCTGAGAATTTGTTAGGTCAAAGTTTACACAATCTACATACATATTTATGCTTTGGAGTCATCATGTCAGAGATGTCAACTGGACAAAGGTCTTTGATGATTACGAATTTGATAATAAACTTGCTGTGAAGATTTGCTGTGGATTGCGGCCTGAATTTGCACCTGGAACACCAGATAGCTATATTGAATTTGCTGATAATGTTTATGATAAACTTGAAGAATAGAATAAAACCATGTAAAGTTCAGTTGATGTTAAAATTAAAAGGCAATATATAGAAGCGATAAAGCATCCAAAAGATTGCCAGTTGCCTCACCAAGACATTTAGACTTTATGTATACTAAAAATTATCAACACACGAAGAATATCAGATGCAATTAATGATAATTTTGTAAAATAACATTATTTTACTTATTTGATTAAAGCTAACAATGCTATCCTAATAGCTTTATCAAGTGAATCTATTGGTTCTGTTGAAGTTCCTATTGGCAAGTATCATTAAGGTTACTTCAATTATAATCAAAATTTTATTATTCACTTATATTGGCATTTAGATTAATTGCTTTAAGGGTATAAATTCATTTTATTGATATATAGTTTAAATTTTAAAGTACTGTATAAGTTCAATTTTTGTTTAAGTACTATCAAAATATACATATATTTAAATTTGATTTTAATTTAGAAAAAAAAAAATTGATAGTTAAAATTCTTTGCATGATTTCACAAACGTTTAAAATTTTATATTTAATTATTTTTTCCTAAATCTGTTTATATGCAGGTAGTACAAAGGCCGTTTAAGTCACAGTCAACTATCGATATAACGGAAATCTGGGCCAACCTAAAATTTCGTTATACCTATATAACGAAATAGGCTTAACAAATGTTAAATTCCGTTATACTGTACATAACATGGCCTTTTTGCTAATAAATCCGTTATAACCATTTTAAGCATTCTATAAAGAATTTGATACATCAAATTTGGTGGTGTAAGGATGTCTATTATACCTATCGATAGTTAATTGTATTAAATATTTTGAATAATAAAAATAAAATCCTATTATGTATAACATCTCTAAATCTAAATTCATTTATATCAATATAAACAATCTTAATAATAGTAAGAACTCAAGCTAGTTATCCCAGCATATAATACAGTAACATAATATTAGTGCTAAAAAAAATAAGTTCTGTTAAATATATGCAGCTAAAGAATTTATTAGTGCAGTTACTAAAAATAAAATGGGATCACGCACATATCGGTATATCGTTCTTCTCTATGCCCAGGACGACAAAAACTAGGCCACTAATTAATGCGCATAGTTTTACACGCACCATTATAACATTTATGCATTATCCAATTATTATACTGTATACTGATTTATTCAACTTTTTATAGCATTTACATTATATTATAATGTATAAATGTATACTGATCTATATACATCGAATTATATTCGGTTGCAAGTTGTTAATCGATCCCTATATGTAAACACTGCATGGGTTCGCGGAATTTTAAATACGAGTCAAGACTAAATTGCGTAAATATATACGGGACAGTGCACTAACACCACGTCTAAAGAAAAAAGCACGGATTCCGTGTTTTAACGAATTTTTACGTGTTGTCACGTATACTTTTACGCATAGTAACTTATTTTTACATGCTTTCCGTATCCAACTACATGCTTAAATTGCATTTTTTTTTCGATAATTAATCTCCATACGGTGATTGAATCACGTGCTAAATTCAGTAATAGCACGTGTATTCCCGTATACTGATTTCTAATATGGGATTATGATCGATAATTTCAATCAATTATCACCACTGGGAGTAAGTAGTGTATAGTCAACAAAAGTATGTATAATAGAAATTAAGGTAGTAATGTATAGTTCGTAAAAGAGATTCTTTAAGAGATTTTACCTACAGTATATACAATACATATTTCTGTAATACCACTAAACCATTATTAAATTTCATGAATATTTATTATGAGTTCATTTTATTCGTGTTAATTTAGTTCATGATAAGGTAGTTCATGATAAGGATACTGAAAATTAATTGCAACCCAGTTATTATGCAATTATGATTAAAATTGTTATCGTGACCAATCAATGATGACATTAATTGCAGTTTTTTTTTTGCATTCATCATTAACTTTGCAGTGATATAAAATGTTAGACTTTAGAATGTTTTATTTCGAAACTGAACAAAAATTAATCGCACCCAAATATAGATATACAGTAAAATTGTTATCACTGTAACTGCAACCGTATATAGAAACCTATTGCTTAGTTTGTGAACGTCTTCAATTGACCACATATTCTTAGCAGCACCAGATTTTCAAAAGCATGCGTTTTAAGAGATTTCTTCAAGTCTGTATAGTAATATGTGCCAAGTACATGTAAAAAGAATTTCTACTGCATTGAATGTCCCTATATAACACTTAGTCGAAACTTTGGCATGCAATGGTCTAACTTAAAAAAAAAAAGACTTTGAGCGCTGATATGTATCTTCGAAATTAATATTATGGTGGTTTGCATAAAGTAAATTTTGCAGATTATTCAAGAAAGAAATTATTTGAGTGCATAATTTTTATGTAATTACGTATTATTACGTTGCTATGTGAAAATCAGCGGTATAAATTAATTGGGCCAAATAATTGCAATTAACTGTTCCCACAATCAATTATTCAGTAGGAATCAATTATTCAGTAGGCTTGGTTCGTGAGATAAAGAACATTTATTATTGCGCTTTGCAAAAAGATGTGAACACTGCAGATCATTTTTTCATGTGAGAATCGGAGATTTTGCGATTTCAAAGAATTATAAAGATTTTAAATCTATGTACTTAAAATGTAATGCTTCATTAATTTACAAATAAAGTTTCTAACAACCGTATTACTTTCTTTCATATTCTTATTTTTCTTTAATATGGTTTTCGCATGTAGTAATGACTTGAAATGGCGTATAATTTTTTTACACTATGATAACTATTCAATATCTCAAATTGCAAAACTCCTTTATATTAGTAAAAGCTTGGTGTATAAAGTGTTGAGAATATATAAAAAATGGGGAACTGTAACTAATCCTTGGCGACAAGTACCTGGACGGCATAAAACTTTTAATCGAAGTGATATAAAGGTAGCATGAGATTTTTTTATTAAATTGTATTTATATTACTGCATATTAATTTTGTTAAATAATAGATCCTACGAAATATTATTCAAGAAAATGTGAGTTTATATCTTGATGAAATTGCATTGCAAATGGAAATTCGATCAGGCAAAAAAGTCTCAATTTCTACTCTGTGGCGTTCGTTGACTTATTGTGGAATATCACGAAAAAAGGTATATATATTTTTTTTGATATAATTAGTACAAGTACAGTATAAAGTAATATAATCTTCAATATTTTTATTTTAGCTACATAAAGCAGCCAAAGAGCGTAACGAACTACTTCGTAGTGCCTTTATGGCACGTATCGGTTCCCAATACAAAAGCGAGCAATTAGTATTTTTAGACGAATCATCAAAAGATGAACGAACTATTGTTAGAGCTTATGGATATTCACAAATAAATACTAAAGCTGTTAAAAAAATAGTATTTCTTCGTGGTAAGCGGTATACAATCTTGCCCGCACTTACTTTAGATGGCATTATTGCCGTTGATATTATGGAAAACAGTTGTACAAAGTTGAAATTTAAAGAATTTGTAATTACTCAAGTGGTATGTAATCATAATTATAGTATTTATTTATACAAATCATAAATACAGTTTTAATTGTCTTTTAGCTACCGCAAATGAATACATTCCCACATACAAGAAGCGTTTTAATACTCGATAATGCTAGAATACATCATGACGACGGGTTGTTAGAATATTTAAATGCATTCGGTGTACGTGTAGAGTTCCTTCCTCCATATTCTCCCGACCTCAATCCGATAGAATTAGCTTTCTCAACTATAAAAAGTTTTTTAAAAAAACATCAGTATTTCGTTGAAAGTTGTTTGGATCCAAAATATCCATTATTGGTTGCGTGCTCCCAAATTACCTCTGAATTTTCTAATAATTTTTTTAATGCGGCGGGTTATAAGTAAAGGTTTTTTCTATAGGAAATGTATTGTTTAATGATGTAAAATATATATTGTATCTTGCAGCATAATCGCGAAGAGTTTGCTGTGCACCAATCGTATCTATATCACATTTTTCAAAGTCTTCATTCGATAGTTTAGTAAGCAATCGTATAGAGATCTTCTGTTGTTGAAATTTTAATAAAAATCCATGATAATAATTTCCAGTGCCTTCGCATTCATCAATATGCTTTAAAAAATCTTCAAGTGTAGGTTTAAAACTTGGTTGTAAAGATGGCTGAATAGGTGCTTGAAAAGGTGTTCCATGAAATTGCGACGGAAAATATGATATGAATGGACTATAAATTGGCGATGGAATATAGAATTGTCCTGGATACATTGGATGTTGAAAAAAATTTGTCTGTTGTATTAAATTAGATTGTAATAGGGATGTTGATTGTAATGGTGCCAAATGTGAAGGAATTTGTAATGGTGCTGATGGCGAAGTAGCTTGTAATAGTGCTGATGGTGACGTAGCTTGTAGTGATGCTGAA